AAATTGCTCTGTTTCAAGATGTTGGCCTCAGGAATAAAATAACTTCCATTTGATTAAAAAAAAAAAAACTCTAAGTTTATGAGAATAATAATATACTTTAAAAAATGTTTTCTAAGTACGAATAAGCAAATTAAATGGTGTATGTGCACACGCGCACACACACACCACACACACATACATGAATCCTCACACAGCATAAGTACCCTTTATCTTATTATTTGTAATTTCTTATTATTTCAATGTAGACTAACTCAATAAGAATCTTATTATTCTTAAAATAATAGCTCAAAATCAATGAATCTTAATGTAAAATTCCAAAAACTAAAAGAACCTATCTTATCATCTAAGATAAGATGCTCAACCTGTGTATGTATGTTTTCAGTATGTGTGCATGTGTGTATGCGTGTATACTAAACGCTTAAGAGGATATTAAATGTTTAAAAGGACATCAGTTCTGGGCCAGGCGCGGTGGCTCACACCTATAATCCCAGCACTTTGGGAAGCCAAGTTGGGCAGATCACGAGGTCAGGAGTTTGAGACCAGCCTGGCCAACACAGTGAAACCCCGTCTCTACTAAAAATACAAAAATTGGCCGGGCAAGGTGGCAAGTGCCTGTAGTCCCAGCTACTTGGGAGGTTGAGGCAGGAGAATCGCTTGAAGCTGGGAGGCAGAGGTTGCAGCAGGTCGAGATCATGCCACTGCACTCCAGCCTCGGCAACAGAACAAAACTCTGTCTCAAAAAAGAAACAAACAAAAAAGAATACCAGTTTTGTAATATATTATGATTCCACATGTCATTCTGAAGTATTCCACACATATTAATATCTTAGAAAATAATAAATTCATTTTTCCTTGAACTAAAGCATGTACTACTGGTTTTAAAAGGTAGTATTTCACATGCATACAGTGCCACCTTGTGGCAGTTGCAAGTCTTTGTGTATCTACATAAAATTATGGTTGGTACAGAAAACCAAACACTGCATGTTCTCACTCATAGGTGGGAACTGAACAATGAGATCACTTGGATTCGGGAAGGGGAACATCACACACTGGGGCCTATCATGGGGAGGGGGGAGGGGGGAGGGATTGCATTCTGAGTTTTACCTGATGTAAATGACGAGTTGATGGGTGCTGACGAGTTGATGGGGGCAGCACACCAACACGGCACAAGTATACATATGTAACAAACCTGTACATTATGCACACGTACCCTAGAACTTAAAGTATAGTAATAATAAAAAAAACTATGGTTCGTATTAAATAACTGCCATTTTTTTGGACAAGTTATGTGTATAGGTTATTGAGTAAAAATCATTAGCGTAAAATCAGTTTTTTTTTTTTTTCAAAATAACCTTTGAAAAAGAACATTTTTCAGAATGTCTTCAAATGGATATAATTTAAAAGGAGACTAAGTCAGAAACCCTAGATTGTCTGCTAACTATACCACTATCAAGATACTGAATCTTAGACTAACTGTATAGCCATTCTGGACCTCAGTTTCCATATCTTTAAGGTTGTTCAACTAATCATTAATTAAGTCACTTTCATCCTAAAATTTTATTTGATTTTAGCTTTAGAAAATTATGTTTCTGTTTTTAGCACCTTAATATAAAATATAGGCCTATTTATGACACACTTTATCTCTTTTATTAATATGAGTTTGTTTGGTTATGCATTCTGTTTGAATTTTCTTCAGAAAAAAGTCTTAATTTATCCTTCTCCCTGTCCAAATAGCCTTCCCCTAAACAATACACATTAAAAAGATTTCATTGAATTATAAAGAAAAGTAAGTTAAAGTAACTGAAAACAAGTTTTGAAACATTCTGTAAAGATAAGTGTGCATGTATTTGATAAGATGCGGTCAATGGCAAATAAAGTTCCCAAAAGTTAATGTGGAAGAAGTCCCTCCAAAGCTTTTAGAATCTTGGGTGCTACTCTGATAAATAAGAACTAGCACAAGTTCAGAGTTTGGGCAGCTATTCCTACCATAATGTGGATCAAATACTACCCTGTACTGCAGACGTGGCACCTCAGATTTATCTGAACTACTGCTTCATTCTTCCATTATCAATCATCAACTCAGTCCTTGTTTCAAAATATCTTTTCCTAAAGTATCTCTTCTTATTCAACCTCTCTGGCATCCATTTATTTCAGACACTCAACTTCCTAGCCCTGCATGCTAAAATATCCATCACAGTATCTTGTTTTTTAGAGACTGGTCTAAGAGCTTGCATCAGAATCACTTGCAATGCTTGTTAAAACATGTCATTCTCTAGACCCCATACTGTAGACATATACTGTCCAATAAAAATATACGAGTCACATACATAATTTTAAATATCATGGTAATCACTCTGAAAATAAACTAAAAAGAAGCCAGTGAAATCATTTTAATAATATATTTTATGTAATCCAATGCATGTAAAATATTCTTTCAAGATGTAATCAATGAGAAAACATATTAACATAATACTTTATATCCATTAGTTTAGATGTCTTTGAAATTTGGTATTTTACACTTGCAGCATGTATCAATTTGGATCAGCATACTTCAGGTGCTTCAGTATGGCCTGAACCAGTTCTGGAGAAGGTGGAATAAAAGCCAGGAATTTACAAAACACACAGGTAATTCTTCTACATGATCAAGTTTGAGGTCACTACCCTAGACTGTCCTGTACACAATCCATTCTACAACCATTACTGAATTAACATTTTTTAACAATGTCCCTTTAATTATGTCAATCCTAAGAACCTAGAAAACCCTGGTACCCCCTATAAAATCAACACAGATGGGTATTCACAGTTCTCTAAAAGTGACCTCATTCATCCATCCAACCTACTCTTCAATTGGAAAATGTTTTGGATTCTTCCATAAAGCTTTCCTAAGCAAATATTCATTCATTCAACAAACATTTGTTGAAAATCCACTAAATGCCATCATGGATCTTACAGGTGTTAAAAATAAATAAATAAAATAAACATGGAGGTCACAGTTTAGATATACATCAAGGCCAACTGCCCATAACCACATAACCGAAAGTTTAAGTCATCCTGATTTCCCTGAAATGCTCTAATCATAAACACAAAACACAAGCTTTACATTTTTGTTAGTATGATTCTGTGAAATTAAGCCAATCAACTATGGACAAATCAACTTAAACAGCTGTTTGCCCCCCACAAAAAAATCTTAATGTATAAGAACCAATAATGGAAAAGCTCCAAATGCTTCCTCCTTTATCCTTATAAGCTGTGCCATTATTGCTGAGTCCAAGCTTCTCACCACCCTTCCCACTTGGTTTGAAGTCTCCCAGATTCTGATCTGTACTTTTTCTATGACAATAAACTTTTAGATTCATCCTAATTTTATTTTTGGTACAAGAAAACAGATCAGGTATAACATAAATCATTATACAATTTTTTACAATAAAAGAAATGCTCTGAAGTAGCACTATGAATGCTATGAAAATACTTCAGGGAAGTCCTTATACAGTTCTGAAGGGCCAACGAAAATGTCTTTAAGCAAAGTAACATTTAAGAAAGAGTGTGAATATAATTAGGAATCTGAGCAGATAAAGTGAAATTTCTGGGTAGAGAAGGAATGTACATTATGGAAAGCACTAAGGTGGAAAAGAACATGGAGGGCCAAGTTACTGAAAGGAGCAGACAGACGAGGAAAGTAATCTGATAGCGGGCTTCCCATGCAGGCAGAAACCAGATAAGGCCAAACTCATGAACTTCCAATTTTCATTTAAAAAAAAAAAAAGTATAAATATTTAAACCGAAGTAGACTACAAACTCCTCAAAAGACACAGACCATTCCTTCTAAACCTCATGTCTTATGTCTCCTCATAGGGTACAGATATTTAGTACTTCCTCTGTACACAGAAAAATCGTAATTATGTCAGTCTTTTAATTTCTAGAATTTCCAGGTTATACTAAATTATTTGTAGCTTCAGGGAACTTAAAAACTACAATACCATGAAACTCAAGAAAATATTTCCGGAAGTGCTGATTGTTAACATCAAGTTCCTTAGAAACAAGAGGCAGTTTTTATGTGGAAAAACACGGGCACCATGTTCTACTAGTGTGATGCCAAAATTCTAGCTCTACCGAAGCTCCCAGTGGAAGGCGTGAAGGACATCCAACTCTCTTGCTTCTTACTCCTCGCTTTCCCTGACACTGTTCTTCATATCAAGGATTGTGATTTATACACACACAGAGATGAAAGGATTTAAGGAAAATTTACTGGGTCAAGTTAGCCTGCAACCTATCACACCCATCCCTTACTCTTCAAACTGATCAAAACATGATATACAACACTGTACAGGCAGAACTCTAAGACAGTTCCCCACATTCCTGGCCCCTAGAGAGCACATCTACATAATCCCCTCGCCGGAGTTTGGGTATGAAAACTACAAATATGAGCAGATATCACTTCTGGGACTAGGTCCATCAAAAGGGAGATGTGACTGGGTCTGACTTAATCAGGTGAGCCTTTAAAAGGGGCTGAGGTCTCCCCGAAGTCACGGAGATGGGAAGTGTGAGAAGGCTTGTGGAAGGGCTAGCTGACAAACATAGCTGGCCTCTGGCCAACAGCTGGCGAGACAAAATGGACCTCAGTCCAACAACCCCAATGAAATTCTGCCGGAGGGCTTAGAAGGACCCCAAACCTCAGATGAGATCCCACTTGCAGACCCTTCGATTTCAACCTTGTGTGACTGAGCAAAGCAGCTAACAATGCCACGTCCAGACTTCTGACCTACAGGACTGAGAAAACGAATAGGTGTTGTTGTTTTGAAGCCACTGATGTGTGGTAATTCGTTATGCAGCAAACGGAAAACTAACAACACTCAAGTATTTCTCTTATAATGTCTGGCAGATATGAGAGTTTTTCAGGCGTCATTTTACAAATATTTTCCTAGCTGCTGTAAGAATAAACTTCCTTCAAAATGGACATGAACATTAATTGTGCAGTATCTCCTTAATAACTCTCACCCTTTTCAATGAAAAGTCATTGAGTTTGGTGAGTCAAGATTCACTGAAAAAGTCTTCAATGTCGATGGGCCTCTTTGGTGAGGTGACCTTATTCCTGTCCTGCCCCCTAAGGGTGGGCAGGGTGGACAGAACGCAGCCTGGACTTCCGGATGCAGCCCCCTACCGCCCGACGTGCCTACCCCGCTGGCCTCGGAGGGGTGGCCCTAAGCCCAGGACAGACGTGGACAAAGGGCAGAAAAAAGGATGCAGTTCTCTTTAATCCCTAACCCAATTTCTCGGGAAAAGCCGCGCTCCCACACAGAAGGCGAACCCTCTAAAGCTGTGGGTTGGCTGCCGTGCACGTAGTCGCTTTAGGAATTCCCAAAGCATCTAGCGGAAGTTTAGACCTTTCACTAGGGGTCACATGGGCCAGTTCGGACGCAGCTGGCAAACCGTTCCTTTCAGTTTGAAAGTATCTTTGAAACTCAGAAACTGTGCTCCTTGGTCTTTCAGTTCATAAGCCTAGAGAGCGGCTACTGAAATTGGAATCGACATCTTCTTCCCTCGGCTCCAACTAGTAAACCACGACCAGAAGACACAGCCTAACCTACACCTACCGGAGCGTCACACCCGGCAAGCGCGAGCAGGTCCACCAACTGCGCCTGGGCAAACCGGCCGCTCCCGCGAGATCGCAGGAAGGCGGAGAAAAAGGGCAGGACCCCGCCGCGTGGGGCGGGGCTTAAAGGCTCGTCGCGCCTGCGCAGAGGACCGGACGACGTGCTGCGTCGTTACTTTTGAAACGCTTGGCGGGGAAGTGCTGTGGGAGCCGCTGTGGTTGCTGTCCGCCGAGTGCAAGTGCGTGCCTTTGTTTGTGTCCCTGGCCATGGCGCTGCAGCTCTCCCGGGAGCAGGGAATCACCCTGCGCGGGAGCGCTGAAATCGTGGCCGAGTTCTTCTGTAAGTCCTCGCGCAGGGCAATATATTTGGGGGAACTGAGTCGTGGCGGCTCAGTAGGCCCACAGCTCGGCCTCTGAGACCCGAGAAGTAATCTGGGAGCGGCGGCTGCCGGCTGTTCCTCCTGACGCGTTGCTATAACGTGGAGCTGCAAGCCTGCGTGCTGCTGAGGCCTACCTCGCGGCGTAGCCTCTTCCAGAGCGTTTCTTCCTTTAAGTGCAGATCCGTCCCACCTCCCACCCCTTACTTTCCGATACAGGACACAGCGTGACTGGGGTGGGTCCCAGTGTGGGTGTGTATGTGTGTTTTTTTTAAACTGCGAGAACACCCTCACCCTCCCACTCTAAGTGATTATTAGGCATGAGGCTGGCGGTAAACAAGACTTTGGGAACCCTTGTTCTCGAACAGGCCAGCTGCATGTTGTAAAGGAACCTGGCAGGATTTGGGAGGGAAAGGGGAAGATACAGGCTTGTCTGGAGCAAAGTGACTATTCAGTCAGTTGCTAACTCGAATGCAACAGCCTGTTTTGACATCCTCTAGCCTCATAATCTGAATTTGGACTTGGATTACAATGAGGTGAAATTTGGCAATAGTAGATTGATACACTGGCTTTTTTTTTTTCCTTGGCACGTGAAAACAATTATCTTTTTTACTTAGATGCAAGACTTTTAAGGATTTTTAATGCCACTTTGTACCTACTCTGCTTTCAGCAAGATACACGTGTGTTCAGTCATTTATAGCTGTATAGCCTAATGAAAATATAGCCACATCTAAATATATTTTATTTTCCAGAGTTATGCAGTGATAATGAATTTTCTGTCACATTTCTTTTGCTTGCAGCATTCGGCATCAACAGCATTTTATATCAGCGTGGCATATATCCATCTGAAACTTTTACTCGAGTGCAGAAATACGGACTCACCTTGCTTGTAACTACTGATCTTGAGCTCATAAAATACCTAAATAATGTGGTGGAACAACTAAAAGGTATTTAATCATTGGAAACAATTTGAGTCTTGCAGATTTTCTAGCATCTCAAGTGGTCATTTTTCCGCTCTGCAAATAGAAGTGTACTCACATCTCAAATATATTTTAAGTTGAGAGGAAGCAAATAATATATAAAATGGAAGAAATCCACCCTTCCCCCACTACATTGAGAGTGGGCTGAATATTTTGATGTAAGAAATCTTATATGGCTGAAAAATAGTCTTCATCAACTCCCTTAGAAGTGGCTTTTGCAGTTAATGTGGCCAAATGGAACAGGTTGGAATTTTACATAATTATAATGGTGTTCACTGTCTTGAGAAAATATACACTACATATTCTCAATATAATGTATTTTCTGTAACTAGTTTTCTGTAGTCTAATGTTATCATTAGATTAATATCAAGGAAATTGGATTCAACCAGATAAACTTCAAAAAAAGAAAAAGATTAGCTGCTAAATGACAGAACACTCACAGTTTTTTTTGTTTGTTTTGTTTTTCACGTATTTCTGTTTGTCGTTTTCAAAAATTCTGCCGGTGATTCAGTAAGCCTTTTCTGTCTGAACGTTCGTTTTTCTTCAGTTCGAGAAATTGCTGTATTACCTGTCGGGTGAATACTTGTTCTTCATCTATTTCTTTTTCCTTTCTAGAATTCCTGTTAGTTTCTCTTTCATGTTACCCTCCACTTAGGATTCTCATTTCTAATTTTTCAAATGTTTCTCCCATTTGATCTTCTAAAATTTTCGAAAGTACTACAGTGGCCATCTTTATTTTTTTTTTAATTTAGAAATTATTTCTTTTGTTGTTGACCAGAAATGTGTCTTTGTTTTACCGTTTTTATTGCATTTTTACTAACCCATTTTAATATGCCCTTCCGATAATGGCCGTGTGAACATTTTTAGCTTGATAACTCTCTTTCAACCTATACTATCCTCTAGATAAACTGTTAACATTGCCTTGCCTTTTATGTGTACAGGAGTGGAATGCCTCAACAACCTGTGGATGTTACGTCTTAAATTGACAGGCAGGGGAAGATAGCCCTGTTGACATTTTGGCCTGGATATTTCTTTGGTGTGGGTGCTTTTCTGTGTGTTATAGAATGTTTACCAACATCTATGGCCTTTACTAACCAAATGCCAGTAACAAACCACCTTGCTCTGACAACCAAAAGTGTCTCCATAAATTATATTGCCAGATGTGCCCAAGGGGACAAAATTGCCCTTGGTTGAGAACTGCTGCTGTAGTAGATTGGTATTGTCAAAATAGCAAGATGAGACCTCTTTTGATGTGGGAATAGACCTCTGTTCTCAAGTGTACACAGGAAGGACATTGATAGGAGTGTCCACCTCTCCCAGAGTTGCATCCAAAATTAGGGGTCAGGAATAAATCATCTGTAGTGATTTATAGGGCTGCACTCAGATCATTTGGCCTGGAACCTCTAGGCAACTATGGATGTGTGTTTCCATCTTAATTTGCTAGAGAAGCAAGCATTGCCTAAGCCAATGGTTTTTAGGTTGTCTCCTTTGAGACTGCATTGATGACACTTCACATTATGTGTGTCTAGACCTTCCTATTTGACTTCTCCCTTTTATTTTAGTTAAAGTGGAAAAATTGCTCTTCCCTAGAGGCAAGTTGATCTGTTTGTTTTTTGTTTGGAGTCTCACTCTGTCACCCAGGCTGGAGTGCAGTGGCATGATCTCCGCTCACTGCAACCTCTGCCTCCTGAGTAGCTGAGATTATAGGCGCCTGCCACCATGCCCAGCTAATTTTTGTATTTTTATCAGAGACATAGTTCCACCATTTTTGCCAGGCTAGTCTTGAACTCCTGACCTCGTGATTCACCCACCTCGGTCTCCCAAAGTGCTGGGATTACAGGCGTGAGCCACCACACCCAGCCGGTTGTTTTGTTTTGAATGTCATTTCCTCTAGCCTTTTTTAGGGTCTTGATCCTGTTCTCTCTTATATTTTCTGCTTCTGTGTTTTGATTTTAATTATCTCCATTGTTTTCATCTCTCCAGTTTTAAAGGAAGAACAAATTACCACCCAGTCTCCTCCTTTTCAGAGCGAAACTCATAAAAAGTTGTTGATAAATGCCAGGGATCACAAGGCCCACAGGCCACATCCAACAGGTGGCCTGTTTTTGCACTGCCCACAAGCTAAGAATATTTTTACACTTACAGGTTTGTTTAAAAATAAGCAACAGAGACCTTGATGGCCTATAAGCTTAAAATATTTACTAATTACTCTTTTTTGTAATTTTTCTTTACAAAGTTTCTTTACAAAAACTTCGCTGACTTCTGAATATGCTGTTTCAATTTCCAAGATTACTTCAAGGCTCAATGTGAGCCCCCGTTCTGCCTTTATAATTTCTCTATAGGTGATATCTGACCTGTGTATAGCTTCACTAGCAACCTCTATATAGTCAACTCACAAACTTATATATCTATCCGAAAGCCTCTTTCTCCAGACTCATATTCAGCAGCTGTATCTTTATGTAGCTATCCCAGAGATAACGTATACTTAAGCATACTGAAAATTAAATTTAGGATCATCTCCAAAACTGATACTCTTTAATTTTCTCTCTGTCAGTGACTAAACCGTCCAAACAGAAATAAAAGAAACTTGGAAGCTGTCCCTGAATCATGCTTCTTCCTTACTACCATGACTAAACCCAATAAATTTTAACCATGAAATCTCTTACATCTGCCTACTGCTTCGTCTCTACCAGTTTATCCTCCTACAAGCTTTCATTAACTCTTGCTTGAATTACTGATGGACTAACTAGTGTCTCTAGATCCCCTCTTTAACATCTCCAGTCCACTTTCCATATCACAGCTAGAATGATAGTTTTGAAATACAGGTCTAATTCCTTTACATCCTGCTTCACACACAGTAATGACTTTGCTGGTCTTGAAGTGCATATTTTTTTATTTTGATCCACCAGGCTTTGCATGGTCTGGCTTCTATTAATCTTGCAAGGATTGCATTGTTTTATTTTGTTTGTTTGTTTGTTTGTTTGTTTCTTGATTGCACTTGTAGTGAGCTACTTCCAGTCTTCTAGTTATATGCTCTTCCCTTGTGAGTATTTGAGGCCTGTATCTTCTTTCCTATCCTTTTGCATATTTAATGCTGTTTATCCCTAGAGCTAAACTCAGACCTTTTCTGACCTCCGTAAGTGGCTCAAATTTTCCTTCTTTTTTGCTCTCATTGCATCTTATATCTCTCTTTCATAGCAGCCATTACAATGATAATTTCTCATTTATTGGTGTGATGAGTAGATGAATGCCCATCTCCTATGCTTTTATCTTGGATTAGGATGAAAGTACCACATGTTCAGTATTCTGTCCTCAGCACCAATTACTGTACCTGGTACAGATACTGAGAATTTGAAAACAGAAGTTAGAGTATTGATGGTGCAAATTTTCTTGCACGTAGGAGGAGGTCCAAGATAGCAGTGGTAGGAATTTGCTGAGGATAGGGAGTGGGACCTGAGAAGAGAGCTACTTTATGATGCAGTGGACCAAGAAAGATGCCTTCATTTTTATGTGTTGCAGATTGGTTGTACAAGTGTTCAGTTCAGAAACTGGTTGTAGTTATCTCAAATATTGAAAGTGGTGAGGTCCTGGAAAGATGGCAGTTTGATATTGAGTGTGACAAGACTGCAAAAGATGACAGGTAAGTAGCAATTACATTATTTCTACTTTGATATATTTTTTTCAAAACTTGTTTTTATTACCAATTGAGTTCTAATTATATTGAACTAGTTTTATATAAAATATAGTTTGTTTCTAATTTATATTTTCTAAGATAGCCTCAGTCACCTGTGGAAAAGAATTGTCAGTTTAACATATCATTGATTTGTATATATAATATAATTGTAATATAATTGCCTTTAGTCTAAATCAGTAATTTTCAAACAGTATTTATGGTGGTATATACAAAACTACACATGATATACTAAATGAACCATTTAATGAATTGTTCTAAGATATGTTTAACTATAAGGAATTATATTAGATTCACACAATTTATGATGTAGCTCTGCTGTACTTCCTTTAATGCCATCTACTTCCTAAGGCACTTCATAAATTTCTGAAAATTCCAGACTCCCTGGAAGAGAAGTGTCTGTCTTTATACTCTTATGTTTAGCATTGTCCTAGGCATACTTTTCTATAAACTGGGAACCATTTCTTATAGTGAAATGTAGTTTGCTTCTGAAGGCTTTGGTTTATTTTAGGAAATTTTTAGCTTATAAAATAATTTGATACACAATTTAATGTTTTATTTGAGAAAATAGGAAATTAGACATTTAGGCATTACTAAAAGTGCCGAAATGATTATACCAATTAAATATTTTAGATATCATTTGTTATTTTATTTCAAGAGATGCTGAAGTTTCCTGAACTTGAAATGATTGGCAGATTTTCTAGTCATCTGATACTAAATGACCTGACACTAAGACCAGCTGTAAAAGATGCCTGGCAGGATAAATGAAGTAATAAGGATGTATGTTGTGCCTACTAGGTTATAGGTCCAAAGGATACTTTCATTCACAGTTTTTACAAACCTCCTTTTTAAAGCACTGCTTATTTGATGTTGAGAGCATTTAATCAAATAAATAATCTTACCACTATGTTTGAAATAACTTAAAACCTAAAATGAATTAATTGATTGGGTGCACTGTTGATTTTTTGTTTTTGACAGTACACCCAGAGAAAAGTCTCAGAAAGCTATCCAGGATGAAATCCGTTCAGTGATCAGACAGATAACAGCTACGGTGACATTTCTGCCACTGTTGGAAGTTTCCTGTAAGTATTATACAACTTCTTGTTGAATTAAATTGATTGGCAAAAAGACTAAGCTACTGCCTTAATCACCCCTTTATTCAATTTTGTCTTGTCAGATTTATGTAATATAAATTGAAGGAAAAACATTATAAAGCAAAATTAATGTATCATAGTCTCCCTTTCCACAAGGAGACCCACAGTGACTACCTGAAACCATGGATAGTATGAACCCTATATGATGTTTTTCTTATGCATACATACCTGTGATACAATTTAATATGTAAATTAAGCATCGTAAGAGTTAATAAACTGGAACAATTATAACAATATGCTGGCATCACTATTCTTGTGCTTTGGGACCATTATTTTTATTTATTTATTTATTTTTTGAGACGGAGTCTCACTCTGTCGCCCGGGCTGGAGTGCAGTAGCGTGATCTCGGCTCACTGCAAGCTCTGCCTCCCGGGTTCACATTATTCTCCCGCCTCAGCATCCCCAATAGCTGGGACTACAGGTATCCGCCACCATGCCCAGCTAATTTTTTGTATTTTTAGTAGAGACGAGGTTTCACCGTGATAACCAGGATGGTCTTGATCTCCTGACCTCGTGATTCGCCCGCCTCGGGCTCCCAAAGTGCTGGGATTACAGGCGTGAGCCACCGCACCCAGCCTTGGGACCATTATTAAATAAGATAAGGGTTACTTGAACACAATCACTAAATTGCACAGAAATTAGTTACAATATTTTCTTTATTAAGATAAATGTTCATTGAGCAAAATAAATTAGTGATTAGAGGCCAAGCCAAATGACCACCTTTTCCAGCAGTGAGTTGTTCAAAATAGAAGAGAGGCAACAAGATTAGTTTTACTTTTAGAAAGTAATGTACTTTAATGATCTTATCCCCAATTTAGGTTCATTTGATCTGCTGATTTATACAGACAAAGATTTGGTTGTACCTGAAAAATGGGAAGAGTCGGGACCACAGTTTATTACCAATTCTGAGGAAGTCCGCCTTCGTTCATTTACTACTACAATCCACAAAGTGAATAGCATGGTGGCCTACAAAATTCCTGTCAATGACTGAGGATGACATGAGGAAAATAATGTAATTGTAATTTTGAAATTTGGTTTTCCTGAAATCAAATCATCTATAGTTAATATGTTTTATTTCATTGGTTAATTTTTACATGGAGAAAACCAAAATGATACTTACTGAACTGTGTGTAATTGTTCCTTTTATTTTTTGGTGCCTATTTGACTTACCATGGAGTTAACATCATGAATTTATTGCACACTGTTCAAAAGGAACTAGGAATTTTTTTTGTCAATGTTGTGATGTATATTCCTTTGAAGATAGTAACTGTAGATGGAAAAACTTGTGCTATAAAGCTAAATGCTTTCCTAAATCAGATGTTTTGGTCAAGTAGCTTGACTCAGTATAGGTAGGGAGATATTTAAGTATAAAATACAGCAAAGGAAGTCTAAATATTCAGAATCTTTGTTGAGGTCCTGAAAGTAACTAATAATCTATAAACAATGAAATATTGCTATATTAGCTCCTTTTGACCTTCATTTCATGTATAGTTTTCCCTAATGAATCAGTTTCCAAATTTGACTTTAATTTATGTAACTTGAACCTATGAAGCAATGGATATTTGTACTCTTTAATGTTCTGTGATACAGAACTCTTAAAAATGTTTTTTTGTGTGTGTGTTTTATAAAATCAAGTTTTAAGTGAAAGTGAAGAAATAAAGTTAAGTTTGTTTTAAATTTGTCTTAAAATATTTTGATACTGGTTTGGTGTTGATATAGTTAAATGGTAATTAGAATTGATTCAGCATAGCTATTGAATTCTTGTTCCTATGAAGTTATAGAACTTAAAAGATACAAAGTTGAGTGAGTCTTGAGGTGTCTTCAATCTAATGGATAAACTTTGATCACATCCTGTTGATCTCATAGCAATAGACTTAAAGCTATTACTTCATCATTGTGAAAGGATAAATGTCCTTTGGAATTAGTCCAACAATTCCAGTTGAACAAATGTTGATTTTAGTACTTTACTATACTCTTAGCCTTATTATCAGCCTACTTTTCTTTATGTATTTAAATACTATGCTTATTCCTATGCTTTCATTAATACCCTTATCTGGTACATGCTTTCTATCCAGTTCTCACCTGTTTTTCCAAGGTCAGTTTAAGGCAGATTTGTAAAGTCTTCTCTCATCTCTAATCTAAATCTGACCTCATTTTGTAAAAATTCAGTTTATTGATGCTTATTATTAGACACTCTAAGTTCTTTATGTGTATGAAGTAATTGTAGATAGTCTGAATCTGTTCATTCAGAAATTACATATTGAGCAAATACTGTGGATCACTGGCAGTTTCTGGGTTCTCAGTGACAAATTTGTAGACTGTTCATATCTTTATGGAATAAATGGAGCACTGGTGTTACCCAGCTATATGACATCAAGAAAATGGCAAATAAATGCTTCATTTGTATTTTAACTATTTGAGATGTCAGACTAAATTCTGTGAAATCACTTTTTTTTGCCCCAAGATGGAATCTTACTCTGTCGCCCAGGCTAGAGTGCAGTGACGCAGCTCAGCTCACTACAACCTCCGCCTCCCGGATTCCAGCAATTCTGTCTCAGCCTCCGGAGTAGCTGGGATTACAGGCACGTACCACCACGCCTGGCTAATTTTTGTACTTTTAGTAGAGAAGGGGTTTCACCATGTTGGCCAGGCTAGTCTTGAACTCCTGGCCTCATGATCCACCTGCCTTAATATCACAAACTACTGGGATTATAGGCGTGAGCCACCATGCCCTGCTGAAATCACATTTTTAAAGGTTGTGTATATACTCTGGTCATTTCAACTCAGCTACCGTTATTAACAGGATTCAATTCTTAGATTTTTGTATCATTTGCATGTTACTGTTTAGTCTGAGGTTTCTGGGGAGCTAGTCATGACGAGTCATTTTAACCCTTACAGATTATATAATCAATTAAGAAATACGCATTTTGGGCTGGGTGCAGTGGTTCACGCCTGTAATCCCAGCACTTCGGGAGGCCGAGGCAGGTGGATCACTAGGTCAGGAGTTTGAGACCAGCCTGGCCAAGATGGTGAAACCGCGTCTCTACAAAACATACAAAAATTAGCTGAGCATGGTGGCGGGCGCCTGTAATCCCAGCTACTTGGGAGGCTGAGGCAGGAGAATCGCTTGAACCCATGAGGCGGAGGTTGCAGTGAGCCAAGATCGTGCCACTGTACTCTAGCCTGGGCAACAGAGCAAGACTATCTCAAAAAATAATAATTAATAATGTATAAAATACACATTTTGGAGCTGAGTGGGAGCCAAACTATGAACTTTATTGAGGTGAAGCTAGACTGGAAAAGCTTTGCCCTGTAGCTCCAAGTGGACTGTCCCATCCTCTTTTTAGACCTTGAGGGTTACCTCAGGAGGAAGACATTTAAACCAACAGCTGAAAGACTTGTGAGTGGTTTCTACACCATGTTAAAGAGAAGGTTCTTCTTAAGACAGCATGATGGGTCTCTAGGCCTGGCCTGGACTCTGGCTCAGTGTTGCTTACCATATGTAGAGGGATGAACAGAGGTTAAGCCCATCATGGTCTGAAGTAGAGCCCAGGAGGAGTGGAAATATATCTGGCTTTCAGAATCCTTTTCCCAGTGTCATCAGAGAAGTCAAACCTCTGTGAGAATGTTTATGCAGAGGTATAACAGTCTCATGTATTGGTTGACTTTTGCTGCACCTAGCTCATTCTGTTGCAGGGACATTGGTTAGGACTCTGAAAGCCAGCTTTTTCATACTGACCAAAGCAAGTGAAGGCCAAGCCAAACTTTAATGGGATGGGACCAGGAAGTATATTCCTCCCATGGAGGTGGTGGAAAGGGCACCAAGAAGTTATCTAATGGACTAGAGATTGGCAAACTTTTTGTAAATGGCCAGGTAGTAAATAGTTCTGCTTTTGAAGGCATATGGTCTCTTGCACCTACTCAAGAGGCTGAAAACAGCCATAGACAATACATAAATGAATGAGCATGAGTGTGTTCCAATAAGAAAAAAACATAGCTGTTTGCTTTGACCCTAGGGTTATAGTTTGCCAGTCCTGTAATAGATCACAGTTTGCTCTTTTGGTCACAAATATTCAAACCCCTCCCTAGTTCAGAGCATTTGATATTGTAATATTTAAAGCTCACTTGTAAAACATAATTTGTTGCCTCCATCCATAGTATCTCAAACAGAATGTCTCCAAAATATACCTAAATTCCATATTCTCCAAAGCACAACTAGCTATTTTCTTGACATACATCCTAACACACCCCACAGTTCACAATTTGATCTGAAAACTTGTTAAGGGAGGCTTTTTGGCATGTGATGCCATAAAAAGAGAGGTATGGGCTCTCCTTTAAATAGAGGCATGGACTCTTTATCCTATTGTGAGTCTCATAAAAAGACCCTTTTTATCATTTTTTCACTATATGGACATGCATGTTGAAAAACGCTTTTATTAGTATAATGCACTAACATTTCTTATGTTCATTAACCTATATATTTTAGCATATAGATTCAAAGATTATTAGCACAATAAGGTAGATAACTTCATAGACCATTTCTTCATCTTGTTTTCATTTAGTATGTAAAATTTATTTAAAATTTATATGAAAGATCAGAATAGCTATATAATGCTACATTGTAACTCTTATATTTTCCACCAGATGTCACTAATGCTGTAATATTCAAATTAAGATGACTTACTTTTGGTTCTAAAGGCTATAAGGTTATTATTGGAAAAGCAATGTTACGCATAACATTGGAATTTCTGGCTGCAAATATATAAATACATGAGGGGAATAAACACTTAGCGTTTATTACGTGAATTTTTATTTAATTCTCATGCTTTTGTGTACAAGTAAAACTTGTACACAAAAGTACAAGTTTTACTTGGGGTCAATGGGCACACAAATTGTGTCGTGGTTTTTGAAGTTTAATGGTCTCTTCTATCCCTGGCCAAGGAAGTATGCAAATTATGTTGTGGTTTTTGAAGTTTAGATGATCTCTTCCTTCTATCCCTGGCCAAGGAAGTTCATCCTGACTCCCCAACAAGCATAACAAAAGGATTGTTTCATCACCTTTTTTCTCTTACCCTTTACATCCTTTTAGCAATAAAGTGTTCAGAACAAACCGGCTTTCCTTTACTGTGCTTTGCAAAACTTGTTCATGTTTTATTGGGTGACTTTGTATTTACACTTTCCTCAGATAGTCTGTTGCCAGATGACTAAGCAATGACTGGGAGGAACCAAATACAGAGGATTTTATCCTATGCCTAATCTATATTGTCTACAGAATAAATCAGGTATGAATTTGTGAACAGTGGTGAAACATAATTTTCCAACTAATCAGAAGAATTGTTTGTTAAGTAACCTTAATTACTCAGTCTTTGGTGAATTGTTTTTGGATAATTTCTTATTCCTTTTTTTAAATGTATGAAATATTTCTAGTTATTTTGTTCAATGTGACTGATAAAAGTTTATGTTGGAATAGCTGTGAAATGGAAACTGTCTACTCAATTTTAAATTTTATTAGTTATATATTATTTTAAAATAGATCTTTTAGAGATCTTTCCATTCTTCATAATTATGACTTTTAAAGCCAGCAGTATTCACTAAGGCTTAAAAAAAAAACAAAACCTAGTTGGGCAAGCTACTTAATCTTCATTAGAGTTGACAATTCTGTTCCAATCTGGCAAAAACATTGTAGCCCTAGCAACAAGACTATTAGAAAAGGCCTAGAGAGAAAAATGTCAGACTTGACCCTCTGATTACACAAGTCGGTTTATGTTACCATGTCACCTATTTTTGTCCTCCACCATATGATCTATTTTTATACCAGAGAAACATAATGTAGTTACATTTATTTGTACAAAGCCCATTTCATCTACATTTATCTGTACCATTTTGCTATGCAAGCTTGTTTACACAAAGGAACTTACATGAGATCAAAGTCTTTTTGTCTTGGAATTTTATCTGTGCTGAAAAAGGCATCCCAAATATAAGCTAGACCACCCCATAGTCCATTTCCTTGCAAGGGAAAGATTCCAAACACTTAAAAAAGCTTTCTAGATATGGACATATGTAGTGGATGCCTAGACATGGGTATGAATTTCTTTCTGAAATTACATTTTCACTGACCAAGTACGGATGCTGGTGGTTTTAAAGATTGGGTCTGTGATGTGCAAAGTATTTCATATCTAACATGCAGTTATTGAATCACTGTGTTCATACTCAATAATAGTCAGTATAGCTCTGTAAAACAGGCTGTAAAGCCTACAGCCTCCAAGTCTAGGAAAGGAAATTCATGGGTATTGATCATCTACTGTGTGCCAGGCACCTTTGAAGTGTTTTACATCTGTTCAGCTGTCTCCTAAATGAATGGAGGTTGGGGTTAGTGGGGAAATGGGAGACTTGGGCCATAAGCTGTGGTCTTAGAAACTGATAATGGGACATGGGGAGAGCCATGAGATAAAGGAAATGAAGTCTGAGTTCCAAATGAGGAGTCCTCTGGAGCAAGGAACAGCCCTCAAACCTCAGTTTACGGCTGTGCGGGGAGAAGAGGGTGGGGAGAGAAGGACTGGATCCAAAATGGAAGTTCTACAACGCTGCTGATGGCCCCAGAGGAGACCCATAAAGCAAAACCATGAAGAAACACTAGGGAGTCCAAATCCTTTATAGAGCATCTTTAGCTCGGTTTGTGGGCAGAGAGGGGATCAGACTTCAAATTCATTCATTAAATGCATTATCTCAACCCTCACAACAGCCCTGTGAGAATTGCTATCGCCACTTCATAGATTTAAGAACTAAGATTCAAGAAGGTTAAGTAATTTGCCCAACTGCAAACATCCATAATCCATGTGCTGGCCCAATTCCCAAACCAATAGGAACCAAATCCTTTTATTATATCTTGTTTCCTCTCAGAGTCTAGGGGACAGAGGAGGGTTCTCCTGCTCCAGACTTAGCCACAAAGAGATTAGAATACCACGTGAATCTCCAAATTGAGGAAGTGAGAACTTGTAGTCACAATATTAGAGTATTGCATTAACTTTTTCATAATACTGCCATTAAATGTTCACACAGGGCATTTTGCTTTAAAGCAGGAGTATTCATTTTCTTTCCAGCAACATTTCTTCTCTAATTCTTTCACTTGTTTTTGTAACCAATGATGTGTTGGAATTTGTGTTTAACATGTAATCCTGATCCTTCTACTTTGTGAGTTTTAAACAACTTGAGACAAGATGCAGGAAACAGAAGGAGATTGAAATTTATTATATGTATTATTACCAAAATTACAGCACTCTATAGTAAAGCTGGGTTGGAGAATGAGCCTTTGCTACTCCTTCTTAAGTGAACCAAGCAGCCTGTGGAGTCATAGGTGGAAGGACCAGACAACTTCATTCTTCCTTCTCCAGGCCAACTCCAACCTGGAAGGAAGCCTTGCATG